TGACCAGCAACAATTAACTTATGTTTTTCATATCTCAAAAAAGTGACTTAAAAAAATCCCATTGTATTGTGCTAACATATATTTCTTGACAAAAATGGACCTTTTCTTAATTAAATCTACAAATGTCTTTTTCATATAGTAATTCAGCACACTTAGTCATAGTTATGTTTAGACTTAGTTCTGTACAAATCAAAGTCTGACACCAATTTTCAATACTCCATGTAAATTTAATTAATTTCACTTGGTAAACTTCTAATGTATCTTACTCCATTGTACAAGTTTATATTCTTTAATAAAGTAATGCACAATGAACTCTAATCACCACTTTAATTAACTGATTGACTCTGCATTCTTTCACACCTGCACCTTTCCCAAAAAACAAAGAAATCAGATAAATATTTAAAGTTTATTTCAGAAAAGAAATTTCTCTAAAATATTAGTCATTTACAAATAACCTGCAAATACATAGGATTCTCTACCACATCACAAGATTAGATTAATTAATTTATATAAAGCACACAAGGGTTATTCTAATTTTACCTGAAGGAATTTATTCTAATTTTACCTGAAGATGTCAAGGAATGCCTTATTAAAAATTTGAATTTAATGTTTGGAAAAAACATAATTAATAAATAACAGCTATAAAATGCATTCAAATTACTTTAGAAAGTAAGAGAAAATCTATAGCTCTTCATATATTTATTTTATAAAATTTTGCTAAATTGTTAATTACTAATAAAACATCTGTTAATGTAATATTTAAGCGCCCGTCATAGGCCATAATATCACTGAACATCGGGAGTTCACTGACAGTTCAAATACCCAATAAACAGGCTGGCTGCAAAAGTTTTTGTTTTCCTCGTATGCAATACGAACATGAAACACTTTTCTTTATTGAAACCTTCCACAAATGCATTCCTCCCTTTAAACAGATAGCCCTCATTAGCATTTGCATTAATAAATCACCTTAATTTAACAAACGCAATATTTAAAATACTTCAGCTGGTTTCCTCGGCACTAGGCATCACCAGATTAGTTTGGCTTCTTTCTGAAGCAACTGCTGTTTTCTTTTTCTTTTTTAACTGAAAGAGATTTTTCTGAATTTGCCAGTATACTAATAATGAGTTATCCTATTCTCCAAGATTAAGATTACATCTGAATAATCACATAAAATTAATATGTGACTAGATGCCATTAGGTGACTTTCTCTGGATTTAATAACCATTGTATAGATTCTGCCATTCCATTAATTGACTGATGACTGGGGCACTATTATCGTAATGCATACTTGCCAACCTATGACACTCAAAAATCAGGAGATTTTTTTAAGAAATCGGGAGATTTTTCACAATGTTAAAAAGACTTTTTAAATGATGAAAATATAGTTTTTAATAATTAATTAACTTTAAATAGTAACTAATTCTTAAAGGCAAGCAACACAAAAATACCTTACACATAAAAAACATTTTTATTACTTGCATCGTTTAAGAAGACAAAAAAAACTTTAATCAGTTTTCGTACAAATGTTAAAACAGTGGCAGATTTAGCTTTCTTTAAGAAAGAAACTTCATAATTTTGTTCATAGCAATTTACATAGGCCTGTTTTCGCTAATAACAGTTTTTCTAATGTGTCATCACTAATATTAGATCTAAATTTAGTCCTCGTTTTCGCAACAACACTGAAAATCCTATCACACTCTGCATTACTACGGGGAACTGTCAAGATGGCCAACATAATTCTAGACAGTTCAGTATATTTTTAAAATTCCATCAGCATCTTTCAGTTTTCCAATTAAATTCCACTGGGTGTCAATCCTAGCTGATTTTATAACTTCATCCAAGTTTTCTAATTGTAAACTACTGTTATGCAGCTGTTGGAAATGTTTCAATTTTTCCATCCTTTTAGAACTCCTTTCAAGATAATAGTAAATATCAACAATGTGGTCATCCACATTTATTGGTAAAGAAGCTGCCCCTTTTTCAGCTGCTAAATTTAAGAGGTGACAGGTGCACCTCATAATCTGCAAATATGAATTTTCCTTTCTTAAGATGCCTGCAACACCAGTCTTCAAGCCTACCAATACTGGTGCATTATCGGCACCAAGTGCTAAGCAATTATCCAGAGGGACTACATTTTCTTAAAGTTTTAATAATTAGCTGTGCTATATTAAAGCCTGTCAAATGTCCTTCTAAAGTGAGGAGGACAGAAAGTAAATTGCACTCAATTTCTGAAGACTCTGGATTAAAAAAAGAAACAACAATTGGATACAGTTTTGAATCGGTATTATTGCTTCCAACCGTAGAGAGGCAGAACGGAGCTGTTTTAATGCAATCAAAAACTGAAGATTTATTTTTCAAATCCATTTCTTTAACAATTGCACCTGTTTTGGTTCTTGCACTTGAGTATTTCTTAGCGATTTCACTATCGGGAAACATTTTTCTAAATAAAGCTGCAGCGTGATCCGATTCAGTGGCAGGTTGTGCTCCAGTAAAAAGGCAGAGAACAGACATTCTGCATTAATAACTTTTTGGTCCTTTGTTTCCAAAGAAAAATTTAATTTGTAATTTTTTTTTTTTTTTTCAAAAAACTTGTGTTGTCCTTGTGTTTTTGTGTACGCACATGTTTGAGAACATCCGCCCTTCCACCATGCGAAATCGAAAAATCCCGGATTTTCGATTTCGCAAATTTATTATATTTCCTTGAGGAAATAATGGAAGGAAAGTCAAGTGTGTACGATTTTTGAAACGTACACGAGTATTTCACCTTTCTCGCAGACATAACAAAAGATGATAATTTCTAAAACTATTTTCCAAAGGCACGTGTACTCACACAACTCAGGACAAAATGACCGAAATAACTAAAGAACATCCAAATAACAGCTTGCTTTGTCCTCATTGGTTAATATATGCCAGGTGACACGCAGTGGAGCACGATGCCCATTGAAGAACGACATTTTTGGATACGTATATGCTCTCACTCACAAAGCAGAAATTATCTAATTCGCAAGGTTTTGTTTTAGATATAATCTATAGAAAATTCAATTGGTTTCAGACATCCAAAATCACTTTTATTTGTTCATATAACATATTAAGCCATGTTCCCTATAAATCATGAGAAATTTTAAGAATAAGAAAAAGTCGGGAGAAATATATTGTAAATCGGGATGGCGGGAGAGCGGTTGAAAATCGGGAGAGTTGGCAACTCTGGTAATGGATGACTTCAATTGCATCACCTTCATTTTTCATTTCTTCACATTCCTCACTAATTGGAAAATTTCACATTTTAGCAGCAATATTGGAAAATCTATCATCATCAAGAAATTTGGCAGCTGGCTATAAATATTATGGGTGCACGTTATACAACAGATATAAAAATGATAGATTAAAAAAAAAAAAAAAAAAGAAAAGAAAAGTTGAGCATACAAAAATTTGATTTTTACATGTATCTAGATGCTGTTACTGGCGATTTCCTAGGACCCAGTTTGCAACCCTTTCTTCAAGGCTAGGTCATTTTCGTTACTCCTTTCCACCAATCACATTCATTTTGTAGCAAATAATTTATTTTGATATCATTTTCCTTCCATTCCTGTATGAAAACAATTGTTTCATTTGGCAGGAGCCATATTTACTACAAAAAGGAATAATCGATCAATTGTATTTTAACTAAAGCAAATGTGGTTTACTAAAGCCTTCGATGTTCACTTCAAAATCATAGTTTCAAATGACTACAAAAAGAGAAAACATCTAACTCCTAATTCTGTGAATTCATTCGTGTCAGAAGAACATTTGACTTCAAAATTATTTGCCACTTTTCTCGAAACTCTAGAATAACATCCTTGTGCACGTTTGTATCGAATGTAACCTACCCTCTTTGCAGAATTATGCACTTCCTCAAGCATTTCCCCCACATACATATTGTTCCTATCGCTTCTCAATTCAGTATACCATTGTTTGAAAACTTGAGAAAAATCCTCAAATGAATGACTTCAAAGGATAACAACATTGTACATGTACCCTTCAAGTTTCTCTATAAAGAAACGAGTGTTTGTTATACGACGAATATACCTAAAAATTTAAAAAATGTAGTTTCAAATTACAGGTGTGTGTTTATACACCAGAAAATATGGTACGTGAATTAATTACATACTTTAAAGTTTGCAATAATATATCAAGCACAAAGAAAACTTACTGACAACTGAAGAAAGCCAACATTATTGTCACAGTTCAGATTACTTAATTGCAAAATTGCTCCGCGGATGTTGACCAGTGTCTCGCAGCACATTTTAACTCCTAACCACATTCATTCCAATGAAATTCGCTCCAATGTTAGCAGTTGAAGGTGGGTTTCAAACACACAACAAGTATTACAGATAACTTTTTGTGATAGCTTTGCATCTGTTTACATTTTATTCTTAGGCAACAAAGTGAAGTTCAAGTGCTTGTAAGTGAACACACAACAAGTATTACAGATAACTTTTTGTAATAGCTTTGCATCTGTTTACATTTTATCCTTAAGCAACTGAGCAAAGTGAAGTTCAAGTGCTTGTAAGTGCACAAACATACTAGTGAATTTCAATTTTATATAACAGATTTTAGGTGTTTATTTTATGGCAATAAATGATAAAATACACTAGCATCTCCATTTATTTTATACATTTAGGGCACACATAATATTCCATATTTTTTATTTATGTAGAGAGAAAAGGCTGCATAATTTGTTTGCTTCTCCCCTCCCCTAAATATTGCAAAACTGTTTTGCATCTTCAAAAAATTTTCCAATATATTATTCAGGGGGGAGGGGAAATACACAACTCAAACTCGTGTATTTCAAAGGCAAACTGCATAATATGTGCATATGTGTTTTTTAATATGCATAACATGTGCTTCTGATGTTCCAAACACTTCAGATAAAGGTTATACAACTTGCAATTTAATATCTGATGCATACATAGCATAACCCAAAATATTTATACAAGAATTTAAAAAAAATATTAACTTACCAGTGCCGGCCAAAATCTGTCACTCACTCTGGCCCATACAATATCATCTTCTGCAAACCCAAATCCTATAAAAAGATCAGCAGATAAAAATATGCCATTTCACTTATTATATAAAATAATTTGTTATGCTAACATAATAATTTTACACAAAATCTAACTCAAATTGACATAAACTTTAAAAATGTCAATCACACCATTTTTTAAAATTAACATTATTTTGAGATTCAATTGTTACTCTCTTTTTTAAGTGCTACATGGATATTCATACACATTACATATTTATTTGGATTAAAAAATATTAAATATACAACCTTAAAATCATTATTTGATTATAATTTATTTCACAATTTTAACCATTATTGATGAATCTTGTTATTTAATGCATAGGCACACAAAAAGTTAGCGCTGTCAAAAGTAAAAAGAAGACATTTAATTAGTAAGTTTTTATACCAAAACTATTTTCCCTGCTCTTAGAATACACAAATTCAAATATTTCCAAATTTGGTTTTCTATTTTATAACCAGCATTAGTAGAGTAGTGATAAAAAATAACCTTTATAAATAACAATTATAAAAACAATTTATAAATAACAATTACTTTCAGCATCTTTCATTTGTTTAAATTGTAATAATTTAATTGTTCAACAATTGCAAATATGTACAGCAGCAAGTAATGGATGATTGCAAAACTTGTTTTATTTTAAAGCAAAACACAAGCAATCATTGCTGAAAAGGAAAGGTTTCTTTACATGTAGTCACCATCATTATCTACACTTATCTTTTGTGTTTCGGAGTTTGTGGTTTCTTCTTCAAGGGTTTTTTCCAAAGATGATTGTGAAGTATTTTTTAACAGTTCCTATGGAATCAAACATTCTTAACATTCAAGCTATTCAAAAGGTTAGGATAACAGATAAAAGTCTGTTGCAAAACTACTATAGAGAGCCTCCTACCTTCCCTATTTCTTCAAGTTAAGATTAGAATTTTAACTGTAACTAGATCTACACTGCCCTCCCACTTCAAAAAAAGAGGACAGTTTTTTCCATTTTACTGGGCCTAATGATGAAATTCAAATTACATTTTCCATGTCTCAAAAGCGCGACTTAGGATATATGTTAGATTTATATATAGCATTGTTCTAATACTGGTATTTTTGACACAGAATCGGACTTTTCTGAAATAGCATGCCAATTTTTTCCACATTTCGATTACAAGACTCAAATTATGCCAAACGCACAAGTAGTTTTTTAAAAACTTAGCTCTCAAAATTTTAGCTCCTCAATGTTAATTTGGTATATATTTATTAATACTTCATTTTTTATTATGCTTATTTGTTTATTCCTTTCATATTTTGAAATTTAGGTTCATTCCAAATAAAATTCGCCAATTTTTTATGATTTTTAAAATTTGTATTTTTAAATAATTTTTATAATTTTTTCAAAAAATTTTTGAATCATAACCTATAAAATGTTTGCTCTCATCTTAAAGTAGATGTATTTTTAAGCATACCAGCAAAAAATTATAGTTTTTTTATTCAAAATTTCCTAGGATATACATGAATTTACATATCAGCACATTTTAAAACTTGGCATATTCGTAAAAGATCAGCAGCGATAATAATGCCAAGCGCGATTTATACACTTTGTTAAAATTATTTGAAAGTGTGAGCGATAACTTTTTTACACTCATGTACGATGAAAAAAGGAAAATAGAGTGCTATAAATTAAGAAATTCACTAAGTGGCAAAATTCTTGGCGCAATCTGAAAAAATGCGCCAAGGTAAATTTTTAAATTTCTCCATAAATTTACCACCAAAAATTACAAAATTTAATATCTAGGCATAATTCGAGTCATAGAATCGAAACATGGAAAAATAATCGGCATGTCATTTCAGAAAATGTCTGATTTTGTGTCTAAATAACTATATTAGAAAAATACTATATATAAATCGAATACATACCCTAAGTCGTGTTTTTGAGACATGAAGAATGCATTCTGAATTTCATCAGCTGGACCAGTAGAATGGGAGATATAAACTTGCCTTTTTTTTTTTTTTTTTAGAATGCTTGTAAGGGAGTCGCTGGGCCTAATAATTAACGCCAAGAGAGCATTAGGCTTGATTTCAGTAACATTAGTAAATGAATTAATTGTTGTTGCGCTTCTAAAGTGAGACTTTTATCATCTATTGTTTTAAACCTGAACACTGAAAGAACTTAATTGACTTTAATGAGTTACTTTTACTGGATATGTTTTTTTATGCTGCTAAAGTTATTGGACTATAACTTTTGTGATTACAAAATTATGCTCGTGAGGAAATAAAAAGTAGGCTCTCATTTTGTATTTATTGCTGATCCTTGTGTGTATTTCTATTGTATAGTATTAAAAAATTGTAGCATTAAAACTTGGAAAATCTAAACAAACAACAGTTTGAAAATTAACAGCCCAATTAATTAAATTGACACTAAATTAAGGTCAGGAGAGGAGCTTGATGAGCAAAATTTAACACTTTACCGACCGCTAGCGGTTCAATAGCATACGCACGTCCGACCGGACGCTCAGCCACAGATTCTTCATGTTCTAAATAACTGTCAGGACAATCTGATAAATTGTGTAAATAAAACTTTCCAGTACCATTTTTTTCACTCATCGTGAACACTAATTTTTTTTTTTTTTAAACGGTGTGAAAATGTGGGAATTACGCACTTAACGCAAGTACCTCAATACTAATAATAAAATGCAGATGATATAGCAAATGGCAATTTTTTATCACCATGGCTACCATTTGATAGGCTATTTTTGGGTAGCCCCGAGGAAAAAAGCGATTAATTGGCTATCGGTCAACAGGCGTCAGCGAAAAAAGCCGTTTTTAATAGGCTATCGGTCGATAGGCATTGGCGATAAAAAGCCGTCTATTAATCGAGGGTAATGTGTTAAGAGATAATTACGAGTTCTTAATGGACTGCCAAAGTTAGCATTTGAGAAAATTTCCTGAGATTTTTTAAACTAAATCTGATAGATTAAAATGAAAGCATTTCAAAAGTTGAAAAATTCATGTCTCCTCTAAAAACCTTTTTAACTGCTCATGATGCTAATGCTGTTTCAGGATTTCAATTATCTAACAATAATTATGACTACTGCATAAATATTCTGAAGGATAGGTTCGGGAAAAGAGATATAATTATAATTTGTTTTATGAATAAAAGAATAAATTTAGAAGAAGTAAAAAATTCTTCTATTCAGCATTATGCAGAATTTATGATTGCTTAATATCTTTATTTGAGATTTAGAGACAATAACACAAAGTTACATCAGGCTGTTTTGGACATTTGTTAATACCTACCGTATTTGACAGCATATAAGATGCACTTTTTTTCCTAAATTTGGTCTCAAAAAAGTTACCTGCGTCTTATACGTGAAGGACACAGGTTAACTTTCAATACTGAATGCTATTTTTAGCCCGGATAAAGGTCTAGGCACACATAACTTTTTTTACATCTTCCATAATTATTTTGGATTTTGATATTTATAAATATCTGTCGCCAAAAAGCGCCAAAGCTCGAAGCTGATGTCGAAGTTCGAACAAGTTCGATCACATTACATCTATGGAGCCTTTCTTTCTTTACATGGACTTTCTTTGGCTCGGCCGAAACATGTGTTGGTATCGGTGCTTAAAACTATTTGTTTTAAAAAAATACCCTCAAAAATATGACTACAGGAAACAAGAGATTAAGGTATACAATTCAGTAGGAGTGTTAAACTAAGCGAAAATGCATGGAAACAGAGCAGCAGCAAGGCATTTTGGTCCACCACCTACTGAAAAAATGATACCTACTTGGCAACTGCAAGAAGATCAACTGAAGACTGCTAAAAAACAAAAAACATAACCTTCGATGCCCAACTCCATCTTGGCCTGAACTTGAAAATGCCATAAAAATGTGGATGATAGATAAGAGGAAATCTGGGATAAGCGTTTCAACCAAAATGATAATCAATAAGGCCAAAGGATTTGCAGAAAAACATGGGAATCAGAACATTTCAGGGTCTGAAGCCTGGTGCTACAGGTTCATGAAAAGGCAAGGCACACAAAAACAACTATTGCACAGAAAATGCCAGCAGATTATGAAGAAAAATACTAGCATTTCACAGGTTTGTTATAAATGCACGCAAGAAAACTTCTTTTGAGCTTGGTCAAATAGGAAATATGGATAAAATTCCACTCACATTTGATGTACGATCCAACAAGACTGTGAGTATTAAAGGGTCTAAATCAATAACTATAAAAACCACAGGTCATGAAAAAAACCCGATATATGGTAGTTCTAACATGTTGTGCTGATGGCACAAAACTATCGCCGTTTTTCATATTCAAAAGAAAAACTCATCCGAAAGAAAAACCTCCAAAGGTGTAATTGTTCATGTTCATCCGAAAGGTTGGATGGACTAAGCTGGAATGAAACTGTGGTTACAGAACGTATGGGCGAGGCGATCTGGTGGACTCTTAAGAAAACCCTCTCTTTTGGTTTTGGGTCAGTTTAGCACCCATAGAACTGAAACCATTAAGAATAAAGTGAGAGAATTCAAAACCAGATAGATAGAATTCCTGGTGGACTAACTAGCCAATTGCACCCTTAAATGCATCGGTGAATAAGCCATTTAAGGAAAAAGTGCGAGAACGATGGAACAAGTGGATAGGACAGCCATATCACGCCATCAGGTAGAATGAAGTGGCCCTCTATTTCATAAGTGTGCGAGTGGGTAAAAAGATCTTGGTAGGACGTAAAGGCTGAGGTAATTGTTACGTCCTTTAACACTTTGTAGGTCGTGCATTTATCGTAGCGCCATTACGCTGCCACCGGTTCACGCAGGTTCTACTGCTCGCCAACGGTGATATTTACGCAACTTTTCGAAACATAAGTAGTTGGTATATAATTATTATTAAAGAAAGCACTAAAATAACTGTTACACTATTTTTATTCCAATTATATTTTTTAATTACCGTATATACTCGCGTATAAGTCGAGATATTTTGGACAAAAAAAAAAAAAAGACTTCAAAGTGGGGGGGGGGGG